CTGTCCGACAGACTAGGGGTGACCGAACCAGCACCTCCGTTCCCGTTCATCACTTTTACGACAAATGTAGGAAGATCAATTCTAACCCGAATTTTCAGGGGTCCTAAAAATGCGACCGAACAAATAGCAACATCATAGAATGTGTAAAACCCAAATGTGGACAAAATTTGAAATGCATGAATTTCCTATACAGTTACCCATAATCCCCATGTGCCCAGAGAATTGTAACAAAACCACCACAAACATATCACGGCGGCGAAATACTGAAAATTGCCTTATTTTAAAACCTTACGTGAAGGGGAATGCGCAGCTAAGATCCCCTTTCCTATAATAGTCTTGAGTACCAATGCACGGGTCAACTACTTTGTACACAAACTGTTATTACTCAAGATCATATTACCCCACTGTAAAACGAGCGTATGTTCAAAGCTACACAGCCTACAGTGAAACCTAACACCGTTGGTTCAAATCGCGCTGACTTATTTCTGAGCAGAGCACACTTGGCTCCTTGGGGAACGCCAGAGTTCGTGGTTCGAATCCCCGATTACATTTCTTCATTTGTCACCACCAAATCCTGATGCATCAGTGCGGTAAACGACTGGACCCGCATCACTCCGCGTTCCCCTGTCCTTCATGCCGTGGACCCGTGGAGCCGTGGACCCGTGAAGATTCAGGTTAGAATTAGAACTTCCTGGTTGTAGTAGCTATCAGATCTACATTGTGCATGTTTTTATCTACGTTATTCAAATTAGGGTAAAGGGCAGCGCGTCACATTGGGGCAGCCAGGTCTGTATACGGTTACATGGATACCTGGTGTCGATATCTACCTAGGTATGCATACATGCGCGAAGGGTAGGGGGTCGATATTGCTTTATCTATTAGATGTTAGCGAGCGCAACAATCTTCCATGATGGATTCTTGTTCAGGGCCCATGTATAACACCACACAGACCTCACTGAGCACAAACTATGTAATTATGTCAGCATAAATCTTCAACCTCCACCACATGCACCACTCTCCAATTTTGACAATAACCACCACCACCACTACCACCACCATCATCATCATCCTCATCATCCTCATCATCATATTGGAGTAGCTCAGTGGTTAAGGTGTTGCTCCCAGGTTCGATTCTCCACATGGGTACAAAGCTTGATATCAACCGCCGTGATGTGACTCACTAACTCAGTCACCATAGACTGACCCACTCACTCACTCAGCAACACATTCGCCAACTCTTCCTTTTGAATAACCTATTTGCTCGTCACGCCGACGACCCCGGTTCGATTTCCAAAATGGTAACTTTACGCGTGGCTTCTTCTCGGTCCACCCTTCCGTGAGATCTCGCCGTGATGTTGCTGGAATATTGCTAAAAGCGGCGTAAAACCAAACTCAGTCAGTCAGTCAGTCCGTGAGATCTATGCAGACATGCTGATGCGGCATACCCTAAACCCGATTTTATTAGCACGGCGTGTGTGTGCCATCGTCCATTGAACGCATTGATCATTGTCTGTGCTGTTAAACACTGTCTCAGTTATCTAGGACGTCGTGTGTATCATCCAAAGCTGCAGGCAGAGCTGTTCCACCGTACATAACGTGGGTGGTTGTTCACGCTGTCGACCACACCCACAATTATTCAGAAAATGATGTGTCACCTGTAACTGTGACGCTATACCCTGTAGACGTGGATGGCTGTTCATGCTGTCGGCCACACCTTCAATTATCCAGGAAATGATGTGTCACCTGTAACTGTGCCACCATACCCTGTAGACGTGGGTGGCTGTTCATGCTGTCGGCCACTTCCTAGATTATCCAGGAAATGATGTGTCACCTGTAACTGTGCCACCACAACCTGTAGACGTGGATGGTTGTTCATGCTGTCGGCCACACCTTCAATTATCCAGGAAATGATGTGTCACATGTAACTGTGCCACCATACCCTGTAGAAGTGGATGGTTGTTCATGCTGTCGGCCACACCCACGATCGATTATCCAGGAAATGATGTGTCACATGTAGATGTGACGCTATACCATGTAGACGTGGATGGTTGTTCATGCTGTCGGCCACACCTTCAATTATCCAGGAAATGATGTGTCACATGTAACTGTGACGCCATACCCTGTAGACGTGGATGGCTGTTCATGCTGTCTGTCGGCCACACCCACGATCGATTATCCAGAAAATGATGTGTCACCTGTAACTGTGACGCCATACCCAGTAGACGTGGATGGTTGTTCATGCTGTCGGCCTCATCTTCAATTATCCAGGAAATGATGTGTCATATGTAACTGTGACGCCATACCCTGTGGACGTGGGTGGTTGTTCATGCTGTCGGCCACACCCTAGATTATCCAGGAAATGATGTGTCACATGCAACTGTGACGCTATACCCTGTAGACGTGGGTGGTTGTTCATGCTGTCGGTCACACCTTCAATTATCCAGAAAATGACGTGTCACCTGTAACTGTGACGCTATACCCTGTAGATGTGGATGGTTGTTCATGCTGTCGGTCACACCTTCAATTATCCAGAAAATGACGTGTCACCTGTAACTGTGACGCTATACCCTGTAGATGTGGATGGTTGTTCATGCCGTCGGCCACACCTTCAATTATCCAGGAAATGATGTGTCACCTATAACTGTGACGCCATACCCTGTAGACGTGGGTGGTTGTTCATGCTGTCGGTCACACCTTCAATTATCCAGAAAATGACGTGTCACCTGTAACTGTGACGCTATACCCTGTAGATGTGGATGGTTGTTCATGCTGTCGGTCACACCTTCAATTATCCAGGAAATGATGTGTAACATGTAACTGTGCCACCATACCCTGTAGACGTGGGTGGTTGTTCATGCCGTCGGCCACACCTTCAATTATCCAGGAAATGATGTGTCACATGTAACTGTGACGCCATACCCTGTAGACGTGGATGGTTGTTCATGCCGTCGACCACACCCTAGATTATCCAGGAAATGATGTGTCACATGTAACTGTGCCACCATACCCTGTAGAAGTGGATGGTTGTTCATGCCGTCGACCACACCCTAGATTATCCAGGAAATGATGTGTCACATGTAACTGTGCCACCATACCCTGTAGAAGTGGATGGTTGTTCATGCTGTCGACCACACCCTCAAGTATCACACAAATAATGAGTCGCCAACAGCAGCAGTTATTACTGTTTCATAGCACCGTCTTTTTATCAGTCGTTACCAAATAAGCATTGAGGCATGATGACTTCCGGTTTTCGGGGGGATTACATTTTGAAATAAGGAAACACATTCAGATTCGCAGCTTATCTGAATGAGTCAAAATCTATACAAAAGAAAGGAAATCTGATATTTCCTACCACAACAACTGAACAGTGCTTGCCAGTTACACCCAGTAGTGTTTAGATCCAATAAAAACAATGAACCGATTATGCGGCAGTCGGTGTCACTCGCCCAACTACAGTCTTCCAGTACAACATGGAGGCACTACTGCACCTGCCTAGATTGGCTGATAACAACGAAACCTCGTTACTACGAACCCGAGGGAAGCGTCAACATTGACAGAGTGGCAGTTTGATATCGATATCGATTAGTCTATCACACAGTCCCTAAACCACATTATTTTCCCTACTGCGATGCTAAAGCTCTAAATGAAGCAGGTCTAGATTTCCCCTATGTCTTGAATCTTCCAACTCACTGGGGCTCCTTTTCAGTTTAAATGGGCTTATCTCTTATCATCATTACATGTAACATACTTTTATAGATAAAAAGATATCGATATGTCTTTAAGAGACCATAGTGGCGTTACAATTTAGATCTCCCCGAATCTTTCATCCTGTCCAGCAATGGATTATCTACATCCGAAAAACTTTCAAAAGTTTATTATTTTGTGTTTGAACATGTTCCTGCTAAAACTTAATATGAAGCTCTGTAATCTCGTTTGTGTACACCACAGGAGACGGACGTTCGAGTAAATAAATTGAAATGGAAAACACGGTGTATAATTGTAGCCCTGATGTGGCACCACACAAACAATTATTGTGACTGTCACGTCCAAAACAATGCCTTCTCTTCGTTGCATTATTTCTGCCCATGAGTATACCACGTGACAGTCTAACGTCACAACATTCATTGTCTGTAACGGATCTCACACTCGGTCGAGCACGAGGTTGGCCTACCAGCTACATAGCCAGTATGTGTGTCAACATAAGAGGGTCTAAGTGATTCGATAAGCACACACACTGTACTGTACACGACTGTACTGTACTGTGTTATATGAATATTCATGTGCATATCAGTGCATATGAAGGCTAGCTAGTCATGTCGGTCAGCCAAACTTTCCCTGTATTAAACTGAATCTACTGTAGGGCTGTTTTCGAAGCAGACCCGTTCAGCGCGCTTATGATATATTTATATCTATGTAAGCAAAAGGTCTCGAGTATCTGGATCGATTGGTTCAAACCGACATCGGTGTGTGGTGATTGTGGTATTGTGTACCTGCGAACGTCGTCAATATTTCAGACCGTCGGTTAATGTATCTACCTTTGAGAACTAACCTCACATACACACTCCCAAAGGGTGAACGTACGCGTCGTCAGTTCTTTAGACAGCCGGTTAATGTTATCGAGCTTTGTAAACTAACCTCATGCACACATAACCAAACGAGTGAACGTCTCTAGTATTTGTGACAGCCAGTTAATGTTATCGAGCTGTTGGAACTGACCCAATAGGTCGTCTTATACCCAGCAAGCAGTATTGTCATGATCAAGGAATTACTGTATGCCGTAGATTCACGCTTCCAATAGCACACCTGTTCGTAACTACACGAAACAGCTTGTGTTGAGATTCACATATAGCATAATCGATGAACAAAATCGAAGCGCGTTCATTTCAACAGTGATATATGTGTCATATTTACATATACGACTATATCCCAAACCCATTATCCCTCCCGAAGAAGAAGTAATACGGTGACCTAAAAACTACAATGAACAAACAACGTCTTACCTTCAGTACATGGCCTGTCCGCTGTAGCAGTATCTATAATATGACGTGCTCGGTTTATCTGTCAACTGCTAGTCTGAAGTATCCTGTATCAGTTGTCAAAAACACATACCCGGGTCTGCACATTTCTCTTCCGGGTTGTCGTTTCAGCTACAACTCATGCTATCACGTGGTTGGATCCAAAAAGGTGTATTTTTATTCCGCTTGGTGTAGGATTTTGTCTCAAAATGGTATAAAACTGGTTTAGCAAGTTGCATCAGGCTTCAATCATGCTGAGGTAAAAGCAAGCTCCGTTCGTATGTATTGATCTTCGCTGAGCAACTGCAGTCGTGAGACGAACGCGGCCGTCATGCCCGAGTCCACAGACCGGTGCGCAGCGATAAAGGCATTCCAGTCTCTCCCGCCTTAACAACAACCCCCCACCCACCCACCCACCCCCGCTAAAGATATACCAAGCACCTATCTGTGTCTGTGTGTGTGTGCGCGTACGTGAGTGCATGTGTGTGCGCGTTTTGTAATAAATACGATTTCTATTCATTTTTATATACATTTACGTCTTATGATATATTTATTTAACGTCTCATTAACGCCATGAAAATTGTATATGAAGATAATGTATTTGTTTAACGAATTTTGAAGGAGGACCCTACACGTTTGCATATTATTTATGTATTTATTACATTGAGCATCTTCTATTGCTTGAGCCTCAATTAGGTCAGTTTTTCGGTGTTGAAAGAAGAAGAGGCTTTCTTTTCTTTTTCCTTTTCATTTTTTAAAAACATAGTTATCCTCTTTACTAAATCGTCTTAGGGTTTGGTTGTCAAAATTAATAGATATGAAGTCTTAACATCGCATTATTATTTTTAAAAATTCAGTGGTATTTAAATTTAATGCCAGAATGGGTTGGGGCGTTGTTTTAAGTGTGTTGAGGATAAAAAGGTCAGTGTTTGTTGACCTCTTCAGCTAAAGTGTTGTGAAAACATGACGAGGAGAAAGTTTATTTGTTTATTCATTCAAATACGTGTCTCGCTGGTGGCTTTGTCACATCGTATACACTGACTTGTGTCGGGGGGCGAGGACACGTTCCCTATACCGCCACGTTTTTTCCTGAATCGTTCCCACGTTGTCCAAAACATGTTGTGTGCCTGCTATTATATCACATTACATAAACGTGAAAATTACCTTTTAGAAATTTAACGAACGTGCACTCTAAACAAAGAACGGGAAATAGTTTTAATAATGGTGGGTAATTTGACCATACTTCTTTGTTGAGATTTTCTCGTGGGTGAATGGACCTGGTGTAACCCATCACTACGAACCCGTGAAGAATCCCGGTTAGAATGAACCTTCAGTAACCCATGCTTGTCGTAAAAGGCGACTAACGGGATCGGGTGGTTGACACATGTCATCGATTCCAAATTGCGTAGATCGATGCTCATGCTATTGGATTGTCAGACCCAGACTCGATTATCTACAGACCGGTGCCATATAGCTTGGATATTGCTGAGTGCGGCGTTATATTAAACTCACTCACTCACTCAGTATCCCCATGGCCACCTGTAGTTAATGTCTTGTCCAGGCTAACCGGTGGTTGATAGTCCGAGCATCGGGGTCAGCGATCTAGCAAACTCAGCCAACGCTTCTTCCACCATGTTTAAGGGGTGGTGGGGTAGCCTAGTGGTTAAAGCGTTCGCTTGTCACGCGGAACACCCTGGTTCGTTTCCCCACATGAGTACAATGTGTGAAGCCCATTTCTGGTGTCCCCCGCGTGATATTGCTGGAATATTGCTAAAGGCGGCGTAAAACTGAACTCACTCACTCCACCATGTTTAATGGTGGCTGAAAACGAAACATTCAAAAATAATTACTCGATGGAGATGTGTTTGCTACGTTTCGTTTCATTTTACGCCGCTTTGAGTGACTGAGCTTAGTTTTACGCAGCTTTGAGTGAGTGAGTTTAGTTTTACGCCGCTTTGTAGTGAGTGAGTTTAGTTTTACGCCGCTTTGAGTGAGTGAGTTTACTTTTACGCCGCTTTGAGTGAGTGAGTGAGTTTACTTTTACGCCGCTTTGAGTGAGTGAGTTTACTTTTACGCCGCTTTGAGTGAGTTAATTTGTAAGCCGCTTTTAGCAATATTCCAGTAATATCACGCGGGGGACACCAGAAATGGGCTTCACACATTGTACCCATGTGGGTATTGGAACCCGGGTCTTTGGCGAACGCTTTAACCACTAGACTACCTCGCCGCCCTTAAACTTAATTTTAAGTTAAGTTAATTTTAAGTATAAATATTTACCCCCGTGCATCTAAAGAAAGTAAAATTACAAATATATGTACAAATGTTGACCGGTGTGTATATTTTTCTTCGTTTTAAGTGAAATATTGACGGGTGCAAGGAATACAACACATCCTTATTTTTATTAATGCCAAACTGTATCGGCAGGTTAAAATTCCTGACGTGCTTCTTGGAGGGCAGATTAGCGTTAGTCTTTCCTCACGCATGACTTTACATACATTCATGTGATAAAAGTTTCTTAAAGCTGAAGTCCAATGAAGTTGTGTTTATTTTTTCTAACACCAAATTATGCAATCGCTTATAGAGTACGAGCGACCTAATTCTGGAAATGTGAGTGCGTGGGCGTCAGATATAGTAGGGCTTGAAATAACCTGATTCCTTGTATCATGCAAATGATATATAGAGCATTCATACACAAAAATACATAATCCCCCCAAAAGAAAACATACGTCCCTTCCTTCCCTAAACACACCGGAACCACCAAGCCCAACACACAGCCACACCAGGGAAAGAACTTCACAATGGACGTCCGGCAAGTTGATATATTTCAGATAACAACAAATACTTTGCATAACGTGCTGATCAAAACAGGATCCTTACACGATATCCAAACTGCAACATATCGTTCGACTCAGTTGTCTGACGGGACATCGGATTCAAGTTCGATCTAGAATGTCCAATGGAATGTCATCAGCACTAACAAGGCCTATCGCCTTAACTTAACACCATGACGTCCGACTCAATCCATACTAAGATAAAGGGTCGGTGGGGTAGCCTGGTGGTTAAAGTGTTCGCTCGTCACGCCGAAGACCCGAGTTCGATTCCCCTTCATGGGTACAATGTGTGAAGCCCATTTCTAGTGTCCTCTGTCATGATATTGCTGGAATATTGCTAAAAGCTGCAAAAAACTTAACTCACTCACTCACTCCCATACGAAGATAACACAGAGGGACTCCATCCCCAGTCTGTCTCACAGTGTCTCAACAACGTTATTTTCCCGCCCGCCAAACCCTTATTTGTTTCTTTCAACTGTTTATTTTCAGAGACGAAGCTTGAGTCTAATGCCTGTCGCACGAGGTGGTGAGTCGATCGATAGGTAAACTCCTTGATATTGTTGGGGCGGTAAGGTAGCCTAGTGGTTAAAGCGTTCGCTCGTCACGCTGCAGACCCGGGTTCGATTCCCCACATGGTTACAATGTGTGAAGCGCATTTCTGCTGTCCCCCGCCGTGATATTGCTGGAATATGGCTAACAGCGGCGTTAAACTTAACTCACTCACTCGTTGACATTGTGGTTACAGATCACCGTACCCCGTATACTTCAGGCAGCGCAAAAGTTTCAAACTACATCTAGATTTTGTCTCAGGTCTTGAATCTTCCAACTCACTGGGGCTCCTTTTCAGTTTTAGTGGAATTATTTCTATCACATTCTATATTTTCAGAATGCCTGTCGCACGAGGTGGTGAATTGATCGACAGGTGAAGCTCATTGATTTTGTTATTAAAGTCATCGTACCCCTATTGCGTGACACGGTTCTCGAATGTCAAGCGTTGGCATGTCTGGTCGAGACTTGACTGTTTACATGCCTTCGTCATACAGGCGGCACGGTGGGTGTGGTGCTCAACAAATACAAATAAATCATATAAAAGGTAAATAAATCGTCACGCATGCATTGGAGCTCTTTAAAGCTTCCTGTGGCGACGCTGACAGCTGGCTAGGTGAATCAGTAACGTAAAGATGAGTGAGTATGGTTTTACGCCGCTTTCAGCAATATTCCAGCAATATCATAGCGGGAGACACCAGAAATGGGCTTCACACATTGTACCCGTGTGGAGTAACGTAAAAGGAACTGTACATCCATGTTTGTTTCGCGGTTATTGACTAGTGATGTATTCGATACGGGTACCACAGGCGATATTACTACCATGTTTCATTTCAATGAATAAATGACAGCAGACGCTGCTACCTCCTCGTCACTGCCGTGAAGATTCGGGTTAGAATCGGTTTACAGCAACCCATGCTTGTCGTAAGAGGCGCTTAATGGGACCGGGTGGTCAGGTTCGCTGACTTGGTTGGCTCATGTCAAGGTATCCCAGTTGCGTAGAACGCCGCTCATGCTGTTGATCACTGGATTGTCTGATCCGGACTCGATTATTTACAGACCGTCGCCATATAATTGGAATATTGTAAATCCTCCTCGTCACCTTGCGGTCATATTCTACCTTTTTTTCGCCTTGTTTGGCATATTGGCTAAAACATTGTCCAGCATATTTCTTGCCGCTTAAGTTTATTGACACATTTGTTTTGTTTTATTTGTAGGTACGGTTTGGACTACATACGTCACCAGGGGCGGTGGGGAAGCTAAGTGGATAAAGCGTTCGCCCGTCACGCCGAAGACCCTTCCCCAAGTTCGATTCCGCACACGTGTAGAATGTATGAAGTCCATTTCTGGTGTCCCCAGCCTGATATTATTGGAATATCGCTAAAAGCGGAGTAAATCCATACTCACTCACTCACTCACTCACACGGATCAATATAACCCACAGACATAATACTGCTGACAGTCTAGTGATACCATTATATACGATAATGTTCTCGAGATTCTCCATCAACAGGGTGGTTGTTCGTGATTTGCTGTTTGAACATATTTAAACTACCCGACAAAAGAAAGTAATCACTTTTAAAGTAATTGTGTAAAAAACAAAAACACTGGTACAGGTTTGAACCCAAGCAGAAAACATTCGCCAGAACGCAATATGGTCCCGATAAGAACTGTCCGAAAACTTCTTAGGAATCGTGCATTCTTCAAAACGTGAAACACATAATTGCGGGACATTGGTCCAAATGCACGTGCATGATTGTGGCATAGATACCTATGTTGGAAAAAGCAAGCATGCAATAACCCCAAAATCATCACGAATATGCCAAGGCTTACGCAAGCGCAATGTGACAGGACGATCGGTACCGCCAGTATGGGGCTTCACAACGTCAGCTGGCAAGAACTTTTAACTGTAGCCAGGCTACCATCAGATATTGATAAACCGCTACCAGCAAACAGGCCAGACCCAAGACGCCCAAGATCGTGAACACCAAGAGTCACGACAGCCGCCGAAGACCGCTACATCCGGCAGATCCACCTCTGGAACAGATTCGTGACGGCGACAGCACTAGCACACGCCATCAGCAGATGAACAGTCCTTCGACGACTTGGTATGGCAGGTATTGGGAGGCTACCGCCCCTTTCATGGAATGGCCTTGACCCGTCTACACCGTCAACGCAGACAGCACTTGGCACGAAATGTACGTCGGTGGACAGACTGACTGACTGAGTTTGGTTTTACGCCGCTTTTAGCAATATTCCAGCAACATCACGGCGGGGGACACCAGAAATGGGCTTCACACAATGTACCTATGTGGGGATTCGAACCCGGGTCTTCGGCGTGATGAGCCAACGCTTTAACCACTAGGCTACCCCACCGCCCCTGTATGTCGGTGGAAGCGACGTGACTGGGAGAGAGTGCTCTTTACAGATGAAAGTTGGTTCAGTCTGTTCAGAAACGATGTAAAAGTTGGAGTTTTTCGACTTGAAGCAAGACCAGCATTACAATGAATTTTAAGTCAAATCATTGAAAAATGATTTCGGTTTGTAAAATAATTATAATAAATCTCACATACGTCTTTGTTTCTATTGTTGGTGAACTTTCTTTTTGTCCGGTAGTTTATGCGCGAGCCCTACAGTTCGCGATATTCAACGAGGAAGTATCCGTCGGCTTCATACATGTTTATAAATAAAGACTGACGGTGAAAATACCCTGCCCTATAAAGTTTCACCAGATCAGGAAGTTTGTCATTGAGGGGATGAAATGGTGTACACATTTTTACACTGTACTAGACATGACTTGGCTACTTTCCAGTTTCTCACATGTTGTTCCACGCGCGTAACAATGCAATGATTATAAACTAACAGAAAAAAGTAATTGTGCATAACATAAAATTGCATAACATAACAGTTATTTGAAAAGCTGTAAAAATAACCCTAAATAAACATGCAGTAAAGCACTTTGCGTGAAATTTGATGTTACGTATCGCGAGTGGCAAGTGCACTTTGTGCACAATGAACTTACTTACTTTATGCATGCTTCATTCAACTCCACAAAAGCTATATTCTGTTGCTCATTCCTATTGTTTGTTGCTTTGCCCTATTGTTCATTGTTACTGTGTGTTCCTATATTCTGTCGTTCATTATTACACCTGTTTGTTCCTATATTGTTGTTCATTGTTACTGTTTGTTGCTATATTGTTGTTCATTGTTACTGTTTGTTGCTATATTCTGTTGTTCATTGTTACTGTTTGTTGCTATATTGTTGTTCATTGTTACTGTTTGTTGCTATATTCTGTTGTTCATTGTTACTGTTTGTTGCTATATTCTGTTGTTCATTATTACACCTGTTTGTTCCTATATTCTGTTGTTCATTATTACACCTGGTTGTTCCTATATTCTGTTGTTCATTGTTACTGTTTGTTCCTATAATCTGTTGTTCATTGTTACACCTGTTTGTTCCTATATTCTGTTGTTCATTGTTACTGTTTGTTGCTATATTCTGTTGATCATTGTTACTCCTGTTTGTTGCTATATTCTGTTGTTCATTGTTACTGTTTGTTGCTATATTCTGTTGTTCATTGTTACTGTTTGTTGCTATATTCTGTTGCTCATTGTTACTCCTGTTTGTTGCTATATTCTGTTGTTCATTGTTACTGTTTGTTCCTATATTCTGTTGTTCATTGTTACTGTTTGTTACCATCCTCTGTTGTTCATTGCTACAACTGTTTGTTGCTATCGCCTGTCGTTCATTTTTACTACTGTCTGTAGCTATTTCCTATGTTAATTGTTGTTACTTTCATGGGTATTCTTGACACCTTGAATAGTATTTCAGTGATATCACATGGTTACAGTTTGACATTAGAAGAAATGCCAAAATAATACAGGTCATTGATATTTACACTTTAGTGTATCTAATAAGCACATGCATGGTGCTGACAAACCTTAATATTTAACAAGACCAAACTTGGGATTTAAACCAGATTCCTGGCATCTCAAAGGGATACAACTCCCCACAGTCACTAGCTGTGGCCACAGTGGAAGGACATTGTGCAGGTCTTTCATTCCATATGAAACAAATGTACTATCCACGCACAACTTACCAAAATAAACAACGGGTTTTCATCAGGTGTATTCATCAGAGGTAAAAAAAACACAAGTTCAGTGAGCATGTGAGAGTTAGTTTAATTCTGCATATATATTATTGTAACAGTCCATCTTGACAAACAGTGTAATATGTGTTTATTATACGACATTGGTTCCTACATATGGCTTGCCATACATACTACAATCACAATCACATCTTCACCAAATACTTTCCAGGTTAAAAACTACATTTCTGGATTCCACACTGAAAGATTGGTACAGTATGAATATCTCACAGCTATAAGCCCACTCTCTGTGAAACGTAACGTCACAAATGCAGCAAAATGAGTATTTCCGATTCCACACCCCAACTGCATCTTCCTGTTTCAAATCATCATATTTTTGAAATTACTATGTACTATTCCTGTCACAGTTTGAGATTTTCCATTGTCGCAATGTTTGGGAAAAGGTAACAAGGATTAGTTTCACCTGCAAGATACATAATTGCGTTTTTTCTTGCTTTTTAAAACAAATACAGCTGATGACTATGGTCAACTGTAACAATAACAACAATGAACACAAGCACATTGTCTGGTATGAGTAGGACCACGTCAAATTACAATCAAATGACCAACTTCACTAATGGTAAGTCCCAAGGGATTTCATAATTTCATACCAATACAAAACCATCACAACCGCTGTGGTGAGAAAAATAATCACTCGGGTTAATATGACTGCGTAGAGACATATGGGCTTATAGCTGTGAACTCGTAATTCAGTCATTCTTATGACCCACAAGCCCTGTCAGAAATATACAGGAAAAGATTTATTCCACAGAACTCAGCAAGAATTTCATAACATGACATTCAGTGTACATGTTTAGACATTAAGATGAAGGATATTTTTGCCTGAAGTCACTTTTATCTAACTGTAGTGAATACAATGACTGTAAATATTCAGACCCTGATATATTTAGTCAACTCCACTAATTCTGACTGTACCCTTGACCAGCACTTTGAGGGTACTTCATCTACAAAACATCTGTTTGGTCAAATTTGTTTGACACAGTAAATCAAATCATATACAAATCCAGTTACATTAATGTACTTCCTAGAAATACACATATCTATATAGATACCTGTTATAGCTAATAACAGCTGATTCATGATGCTAAGTATAGTCTGAATATATTATAAAATCAGGCAGTTATCTCCCTTGTATTGAGTTATCTGCACAACCTTGATCAGAAAAATCTTATTGTATCAAATACTGAAAGTTGTTCAACAATATTCACATGTCTTAACTCAGTGATGACAAATCTGGATAAATTATGATCTTTATTCATTGGTTCTTCTCTGTTGAAGTTAATAAAACATTTAAACAATGAAACTGAACAATAAAGTTTCTGCAGCAGCCGAAACTTTCACTACTCATGAAAATGGAATCCATCATTACTAATACTGCTAATTATAATCCATGCCATGTATTTCTAATACGAGGCACTTAATAGGTAGGGTTGCTGAATATGTCAAATATGGTAGTTGGATTGAAAAATCAGTTCGTTTCAGCACTAATGCAAGGATCACCCAACACTGTAGATTCTTTCAATCCATTCCATTATTTAGAGTGAGTGAGTAAAATGGGTTTAGTGCTGGTTTGAACAGTATCTCAGTAATATATCCTAACTTTTTCCAGTGGCATTTAGAAGCTGGTATGATGAAGAGGAACACTTTATATGAATAGACAACATCTTTTTTGCAATAGATGCCATTTTTCTGTCCTGTCAACTTAATGTGGTAGAGAGTCTAAAATGTTCAAGTTATACACATTTACCACTTTGGTGTAACCCACAAGCCCTGCTATGGTGCTCAAAAACTTAGAAACATACTGCCGAACATGGTTTTCCAAATTCATGCTCACTGGTGGCTTTCAAGCCTAGGAAGGCAACTCTGCACAGCTGCTTGCACCTTAAACAACTGTGCCACTTGTACCCACTTCAGTTTTAAACTTTGGAATGGATATAGGTTGGCAACAGTAAAAATAATACAGAGCTACAGGTAACTTTTGGGATCATTGAGTTATGTACTCGCTTGTGTTCATCTCAATTGGGTATCCGTATTTTCCTTTGAGTAACCAAATAAATTGTACCCACCTCACTCAAACTCAATTGGGTATTTTGCCACTTTCCATTAATTATTAAAATATAACAAAGTTTAAATGGTATTTATACTGGATCTGTAATATGAGAACGATAAGAAGTTGCAAGTTGCAAGTTGCCAAGTTCATGTTAATGGAACCTCTCAATTTACCTCAGTTATTTTATCTATGCACCGGTACACAAGCTAAGATTTGACATTTTTTGTTTATACGCACATAAGATCAAATTTATTGAGTATTTACAAAAATTCACGCATACTTGTACGCAACTGACTTAATGAGATTTGAGTTTTCACATAAATATTTGCGTAATTTACGCAGATACGCAGCTTATCTGTACCTCTGTAATATATTATTTTTTGGTTAAAAATATACTCTTTGGGGTTTGTTTTTGCTTAAAACCTTGATTTCAAGATATTTGTAAGAAATACCTCTTACTAATTTCTGTTGCTTCTGACCAAAACTGTACACATAAATCAAACATATTTGCTCTATATCATGTAATATATTTTCTTTCTAAGCCAACTATGAAATAACTCTCTTCATCATGTACTTATGATATTTACAAATATATATCTGAATAACAACAGATCAGTAAACTGCTAAAAAACATCTATCCACACATTTGTCATAGAACTGAGAAAAGTGTCTGTATAGCACGTTAAGACATGAAGAATTGTTAATTCACATTGTCAAATATCACATTTATATCACTGAAGATTGACTGTAACAGGAATATATTACTGTTAGAACATCACAGGGGAAGATACGAGTCTACAACTTGGAAGGGATTGCAGCCACTGTTTCGGCAATCGCGGACGTAACATAGTCCATATTGCTTGTGGTCAGGCCACACATGTTGATTCGCCCCTCCAAAGTTAGATAAATGTGAAACTTGTTGACAAGATGTTCAACCTGGGCAGCTGGAAAAAAAAAATGGCAGCTACTAGTTCTATTTTGTATAAGACTAGCCCACTAACTGACTTGTGTGTTTCCGATGTTGACAACAGCGTCATTTATGGCATCTACGACGTAGTCAACGTTCTTGGATGTGATGGCACACATGTTGATGCGACCCTCTTTCAGCATGTAGATGTGATACTGTTTTTGGAGGTGAGCGACCTGATCAACTGAAATACAATGTAGAGTCTGGTGAGAGCAGCAGCAGCAACAGAAGCAGCAACAGGGCAGCAGCAACAAAAGCAGCAACAAAAGCAGCAAGCAGTGAGGTGAGGTGAGGTGAGGTGAGATGGGGTTTAACGTCATGCTTGAGAATATTTCGCTCATATGACGACGTGCATGCGTGTGTATGTGCTTGTGTGGCTGCTTGTACTAGCCCAGATATAGCTTGTTTTACAGTGCTAGCTCACTGAGATACCATGCCGCAGTGAAGCGTGATATACACCACTCAGACACATTATACTGACTCCGAGCCGACCAGTCCTTGTTGTACCCATTAATGCCGAGAGCCAGGCAGGGACCAACAAGTACCAAATGTTAACGTCTTTTGGTATGACGCTGTGGGGATCGACCCGCGACCTTCCGCTCTCGGGCGGACACTCTAACCACTGCACCACGGAGGCGGTCGCAGCAAGCAGTGAGTGAGTGAGCCAGTTTAGTTTTTACGCCGCACTCAGCAATATTCCAGCTATATGCAGTGGTCTGTAAAACAAATTGAGTCTTGACCAGACAATCCAGTGATCAACACAATGAACATCGATCTAAGCAATTGGGAACCAATGACACGTGTCAACCAAGTCAGCGAGCCTGACCACCTGATCCCATTAGTCACATCTTACGACAAGCATGGGTTACTGAAGATCAAATCTTCACAGGTAAGCAGCAAGCAGCAGTGTTGGGAGTATAGTACAGGTAAGGTCAGAGAGTTTGGGTTAACACTGCCTAGAAAAGTAATCATTTGTTTGTTGTATAGCACAAGACAAGGCAGTATTCCAGCTATATGATGGCAGTTTCTAAACGTCGGGGCTAGAATATCCTGGGGTTGACATGAGCACAGAATATCTGTCTCAACCAAGGGGTTTAGCCCAGATCTTCATGAGGTTTGTTTGTTTGTTTGTTGTTGTTACACAGCAATTTTCTAGCTATATGTGTCTAATCTAGTGATCAGGACGACTACACGATTGGGATACTCTGACAAGTGTCAACCAAGTTATAGTGTAGTTCTAGCCCAGATCTTCATGGGTGAAGGTTTGTTTGTTTGTTTGTTGTTGTTACTCAGCAATTTTCTAGCTATATGTAAAAAATCGAGTCTGGACCACACAATCTAGTGATCAGAGCATCGATCTACACGATTGGGATACTCTGACAAGTGTCAACCAAGTTATAGTGTAGTTCTAGCCCAGATCTTCATGGGTGAAGGTTTGTTTGTTTGTTGTTTAATGCCGTTCCCAGAAATATTCTAGCTAGAGGATGGTGGTCTGTAGATAATCGAGTCTGGACCACTCAGCCTAGTGATCAGAGCATCGATATACACAACTGGGATCCGATGACATGTCAACCAAGTCAGTGAGCCTGACCACCCGATCCCTCTAGTCGTCTCTTATGACAAGCATGGGTTACTGAAACCTCATGGGTGAAGCAAATGTCTAGCACTTAAGTGAAACCAGGCTTGGGTGAATATGAGAATTTGAAATGTGATAATCAGAGCCTGGAACAAACATGGGACATGACTGTACATTCTATAAAAACTTAAATTGATACATTTTTCACATATTTTTTGTGAAAACAATTTCTACAGGCATTTCTCTTCATAAATCATAAATAAACCTCAATTCACATTGGCTCCTTGACCAGGTTCATTGAAAGAAATAAACCTGTGAAGGTCCAGGTTAGAATGAACCTTCAGTAACCCATGCTTGCCGTAAGAGGTGACTAACAGGATTGGGTGGTCAGGCTCGCTGACTTGGTTGACACATGTCATCGGTTCCCAATTGCGCAGATTGATGCTCATGTTGTTGATCACTGGATTGTCTGGTCCAGACTCTATTATTTACAGACCGCCACCATATAGCTGGAATATTGCTGAGTGTGCGTAAAACTAAACTCACTCACTCACTCATTGAAAGAAATAGAAAGTAACACCACCAAAATGGTTAAAATTGCTTCCTAGGGAACTAAGATGAACACAGGCATATATTCATGTTCACATACATTTGAAGCAGTGTGTATGGTATGTATCTGGTAATGATGGGAGGGTTGCACCAGCAGGAGAGAAGCTTTGATAACTGCTTTAGACAAAGAACTGCAATTACTGAGAAAGTAAGAAATGTTTCTTAACAATGAGAGACACTCAGTACTCTACGATTTTTGTCTCTAATAGTTCATCTTATACAGCTTCCAATTCCAAATCGCTATATGACTGACATACAGTCGATGTAAGGTTAAATTTTAACTCACACTACTTCCAAGTTCTAGGATTTTGTCACTGACATACCAATACTGCCTGTGACATTTTTCTGCTCTGACCCATTTAATTTTATTTCTTCTTGAATAATAAATGTATCATATTACTCCCTGTATGATCCCCATGGAGTTGAGATTGATAATATGATGTGCCGTTTGAGTTTGACATCCAATGATCAAGGGGAGATAAAGCGCCTTTCAGCAGCTGAGCTAGATACTGGCACTATACAAATGTTAGTTTAATAATATTGCCCCCAAACAAACAAGTTGCCAAAATGTTCCTTGGTAGCAATGCAGACAAGTTTCTATAATTTCCCAGTGATAAAATACAGTGTTTATGAGTGAGAATGCAGAGACAGAGTTCATCACAGAGTGGGCTTGTGTAGATGCCTACAGCATAGATGTGCATCAGCAGGGGGGCCAGGGATTTGACCAGACATAAATGTCTTGATTACAAATCTATATTTGAAATAACATTTGAGAAAGTGCTTCATAATAGTAATCATTATCATTACTGATTATCTGTAATAATCTGATAAAGTGAGTTCGTGTACAATCTCTATCTCAGTTATGCCAAAGCAAGTAATCTCATGTGAAAGGACCCGTGAAGGACCGGGTTAGAATTGATCTTCAGTAACCCATGCTTGTCGTAAGAGGCAATCGGGTGGTCAGGCTTGCTGACTTGGTTGACACATGTCATCGGTTCCAAATTACACAGATCTATGCTCATGTTGTTGATCACTGGATTGTATGGTCCACTCGATTATTTACAGACCAATGCCATATAGCTGGAATATTGCTGAGTGCGGCGTAAAACTAAACTCACTCACTCAAACTCATGTGGAAGGAAGGCCCAAAGTGATCCCTGAAAAGGTCACTTCAGATAGCATATGAGCAGAGGTTTACTGCTAAGAAACAGGAGCAAACTCATGTCTATTCTTAGATTTGTACCCAACATTACAGATCCTGGAACCTCAAAGGGATTCACAACCCTCGGCAGTAAATTGCACCTTAGACAACTGCTTTGTTTGGTTGTTTAATGCTGCACTCAAGCTATATGGCAGCTGTCTGAAAATAATCATGTCTTGACCAAACAATGCAGTGATCAACCAGAGCTACAGATAACTTTTTGGGTCATTGAGTTGTGTACTCGCTTGTGTTTGTCTCAATTGGGTATCCTAATTTTCCTTTGAGTAACCGAATACATTGTACTCACCTCACTCAAACTCAATTGGGTATTTTGCCATTTTCCATTAAGTTTTAAAATATTGAAAAGTTTAAATGATAGTGCTTGTTATATTTGATCTGTAATATGAGAAACAATAAGAAAGACTGCAAGTTGTCAAGTTCATGTGCTGAAATAGAACCTCTCAATATACTTCATTTATTTTACCTATCCACCTGTACGCAAGCTAAGATTTGACATTTTCGTGTGTACACATGTAAGATCTCAGTTATTGAGTATTTACCAAAATTCAAGCGTACTTGTACGCAATAGACTTAATAGGAATTGAGTTTTCACATAAATATTTGCGTATTTTACCCAGATACGAAGCTTATCTGTACCTCTGGATCAACAGCATAAGCATTGATCTATACAATGGGATACGATGACATGTATCATCCAAGCGAGTCTGACCACCTGATCCCGTTAGTCGTCTCTTACAATAAGCATGGATTACTGAAAACCAATTCTAGCCCGGATCTTCATGGGTAAGCAGCAAGCAGTAGTCCTTAGACATTTCTACGACCCATAGGTCCTGACTGGTATAGTGCCAGAACATCTTACCATTTAGCCCAGTGTAGCAGAACATTCCGATCTGCTTGATGATGTGATCCCATGTTCCAGGAGTACCTTTAGCCCGAAGCTTTTCATACATCAGCTGCCTCATTTGTTGGATGCGGTCAGCCATTGTTTTTACCTGAGCCTTCCTGGAAAATCAGACACCATAAAGGATTGACTAAGGCCTAAAACCAAAATGTTGTTTTTCCGATTACCCAACCGACGCTTGAATTCTGGTGCCGATCCTATCTCTTTTAAGCGGTATGAATAAAATAAGCTTACAGATACCATTGTTTTTCCCAGCACCGACGGACATCGGTCATTCTGATAGAGAAAGTCGACATGATAGCCGCAAGCTTGATTGAATAAACAATTACACATTGAACAATTTTACTTCTATGAAACGTGTGAAAAAAGAATCCTACCTACCTACCTTAAAGTTTAAAGAGGTGTAATCGGAACCACTACATTTTTTTTAATGGCCTAACTTCATTATTGTTTCAAAACATCATTTAGAGGCCAACTAATATTTTAGCATTCGCAACTGTTCCAGACACCAAGAATCGTCTTCTGCCAAAGTCAGTGTCAGTAATCAAACTCAGATTTTCAGCCTGGCGCCATGAAGCTACTTAAACTAGTTCTCTGTCAAGTCCCAGTCAGCGATTAATCTCAAATATGAAAATGACTGCCATCCTGGGACGGAATACTAAATTCTTGATTTCAAGTCAAAACAAAATGATCTTAGGTTATGTTGTGAACACCCACCACTCAGCATAAGACGACTTGTTGTTGAGGACGGTGGCAACTACTCGACCACCATGGTTGGGGGGGTTGGACCACATGGTTCTGACAAGGATCTCGCACTGCGATCTCACCTGGCTGAGGACCTCTGGTGTCTTGGTCACAATGCACAAGTTACCTGTACGCTCATCTGGAACGCAATTATAATGTTGCCATGGTTACTGTCAAGGCAAGGACCAATTTCTTGATGAACATTATTTCTGTGACATGCATAATTCAATGTTCGAAAGCAGCAGATTGTACCATGTGTGTGGGTTAACTACCCCACTTTAAACAATATTCCATGTTATGGCAGTGGACACCAGTAATGAGCTTCACACATTGTACCCATGGACATTTATAAGGAATATGCTTATAACAAACTACATGCAGATATAACAAACTGACTGTTTTGGGGTCCCTACCATTTGCTATATACTTTAGTCGAAATGCAAATAACAAAATATGGTTTTAACTAAAATTAGAGGTAACTTTGAGTTCGTTATAACCATAGTTTACAGTAAATGCCAATCTCAAAGAAAAGAAAAATGAAAACGTTTGATATTACAAATGCTTAAAATCCAGCTCCTGGCAAATGACAGTAAGGGACCGTTCATAATTTATGGCTAGGGGGTGATGATGATTTTTATGGAGAAGATGATAAATTTTATGGAGAAGCACCCCAAAAAATTTAAAAATGTATGTACAAAGTAAGCGTACCCCCTGCATGTCATGTACAAAATCAATGACCCCCTCCCCTTCCCATAATTTTTAATAATATTTATGTACAAAATTTATGACCCCTAGTAGATGTGTACAAAATTGATGACCTCTCTACCTCCCCAGAACAAAATGGGTGATCCCCTTAAAATCATCATCACCCCGCTAGTCATAAATTATGTGTATTGTCACCTATTAATCCTGCATTGAAACTACATGGTTGCTGACAAAGATAATTTAATCTTAGTTCAATATGGGTATACTTGTACATGTAACTAGTGAAAATTGTCACTCATGAGGGATGTTAAATAATTGAATATGAGCTCAAATCTTTGTATTTTATTGTCAATGTGTGCAGTATTTGAGAGAACCACTTGATACAATAATGTACATTGTATATGAGAGTGACAAAACTAGTTCAGTTCTAGTTGCAGGTAACCGTGTCAGCTCTACAATCCCGCACGCTGTCTAAACAGGATTATTTATTCAATCCCGATGAGTGCCGGTTTAGACAGCTTCCACTGTAGTTATTAACATCAGAATGATATCTCTCTCAATCAATCACACTTTACGCAAAAATAAACACTGCCAACAAATCCTTACAATGGGCAAAACGTGCTGATATTTCAGGGATCCAGATTTTGAGAACATACATTTCATTACGTTTAAACCTGTATTGATGGTTCCTCACCCAAATAATACATATTAGAACAAATGAGTGAGTGAGTGAGTGAGTGAGTGAGTTAGTTTTATGCCGGAGTGAGTGAGTGAGTGAGTGAGTGAGTTTAGTTTTATGCCGCACTCAGCAATATTCCAGCTATATGGCGGCGGTCTGTAAATAATCGAGTCTAGACCAGACAATCCAGTGATCAACAGAATGAGCATCGATCTGCGTAATTGGGAACCGATGACATGTGTCAACCAAGTCAGCGAGCCTGACCACCCGATCCCATTAGTCGCCTCTTATGACAAGCATGGGTTACTAAGACCAATTCTAACCGGGACCTTCACAGGTCAGAACAAATGAAAGAAAAATGGCCACATTTACCAATGCCAAAGTAATTTCTTATCACAAGAATTGAAGAAATATCCATTAAGGATTTTTATTCAACTTACTGTACAGCCCAAAGTTCTTGGAGAAAGACTGAGCAATGAATAACTCGAAGCCCCGCTCGACAAAATAGCGTACAGCATATGCATCCCGGTCAAGGTCGCCGGAGGCAAAACCCTGGTAGGCATTGTCCATGAGCACAAAGAGCTTCTTGGCCTGTTGAGTGAGGGAGAGAATATTGAAGTACACACATTTGTTTCTAAGGTGGCAAAAAAATGGATAATCAGAAATATTGTCGATGGGAAGAACTTTAATTAATTATTACTACGAAAATTGTGTCATTGAAAATATCGTACATATAATATTGTGTATGAAAAAAAGATTTTATTTATACCCACAATACACAAAGTGATTTTAATATTCAGGGGCTGTTTCTAAATTATGTTCCAGACAGTATTTTGTTAGTAATCCATAAAAAATATGTCACCACACACCAGTAACGTGAATGAAATATGTTGATTTCTTTCAGACTTGTTACGCATTTTTGCTACTTCTCCAAGTTACTTCTCTGATATTTATCAATAGTTGATCAATATTTATGGTTTACGATTATCAATCTTTACTAGGGGCATGTTTCACTACGCCTACAAGCCGACCACCCAATCCATAAAGTATCCAGTAGATACTAGGGTCCTAGTAGGATCAATCCAAACCGACCGCCTCCGTGGTGTAGTGGTTAGAGCGTCCGCCCCAGAGTGCGTTAAGGTCGCGGGTTCGATCCCCGACCGCGTCATACCAAAAGACGTTAAAATATGGTACTTGTTGGTCCCTGCCTGGCGCTCGGCATTAGTGGGTACAACAAGGACTGGTCGGCTCGGAGTCAGTATAATGTGTCTGAGTGGGGTATTCATGCTTCACTGCGGCATGGTATCTCAGTGGGCTGGCACTATAAAACCAGCTTCAGTCTGGGCTAGTACAAGCAGCCGCACATACACATACACACGCATGCACGTCGTCATATGAGCGAAATATTCTCAAGCATGACGATAAACCCAATTCCACCACCACCACATCAATCCAAACCAAAAATACCCCATAACCATAAGCTACAAAGTGCAGGGGCCTAATTATCCAGCATTGTCAGTAATCCAACTCTTGAAAATACATGCACCATGATCTCAGTTGAACAGCTAGCTGAATAGATTGACTTCTTTCAGTGAGTGAGTGAGGTTTTATGCCACTTTTAGCAAAATTCCAGCAATATTCAATGCTGACAATGGTGACAGACAATTTACACTCCCACAGAAACATACACGTCCTCATAACAAAGTGGTGGTGTGTGGTCTTGCGCATAGAGCCCAGGTCACAAGTCAGTTGAAGTTAAGCACCGTTGGTCACAGACAGTTCTTGGATGGGTGGCCGTGTGTGTCCGCTTTACTCCTGAGAGTTTCTAAGACTTCAGTCCTGCCCCACAACGAAACACTCCTGACACATGTGGTCTCACCTTGAGCAAGCCAGTTTGTTCAAAACTGCCAGCTGGGTACTTGGTGGGATAAGTCATATGACTATTAAGATTCTAGAACCTCACAGGCAGGCAGTGTCCTACCCCACAACGAAGCACCTATATGGTCACACCTTAGGCAAGTGAGTTTTTTTTCAAAATTGCCTCTGTTCACCCAGCAGAAATTGGGTACCCGGTGGGATAAGTCACATGACTATTAACATTCTAGCACCTCACAGGCAGCTTGGGTTATCCGGGGTTATAAGGTCCATCTTTTTGTATGCACTTACACCATGCCCGTGCGGAGTGGAGTTCCTCACTATATAAGTGGCCTTATTATTATTATATACTCAGCAGCAAAAAAACCCGTCAGTACAAATTCAAAATTAGATAGGCACTGTAATCAAATCATTACAGAAATGGACATAATAAGCGGATCAAAAACATTTTTTGTGTACAATATCTTGACACATCAATGAATAACTCAGCACAATTCCAAGACATTACGTGAACGTTTGCAGTCCATTCAGACTCTTGACTTGAGTATCTAGTGTGACCACCACGAGTCGCAATAACTGCAGCACAGCGTCTATGCATGGAGTGCACCAATCGATTGATAAAGGCCATTGGCACCTTGAACCACACTCTGAGGAAGGCCTGGCACAATAAATCGGCTGTGTTCGGCCTTGGTATGACATTATTCAGTCTCCTCTGAATTTCATCCCAAAGATGTTCAACTTGGTTTAAATCAGGACTAAGGGCTCGCCACTGCATAATGTTGACACCGTTTTGCTGTAGGAAGTCCCGTGTAGCTCTGGCAGTATGGGCCCGGGCGTTATCATGCTGGAAAATGTTGTTCCAGGGACGTGCTAAATGTGGTATGACGTGTGGTCTGAGGGCTTTGTCGATGTAGCGCACCGCTGTGATGCCGCCTCCTCTCCCTGGACCAAGATTCTGGAACACAACAGGACCCACTCTCTGGTTCAGGCCTATTCCATCCCATACCATGATGCTTGCACCTCCCCATGAGTCTCTTTCCATAACACATTGGTCTGAGTAACGCTGGCCACGTCGTCGCCATATTCTTGTTCTGCCATCTGCAGTTGATACGCAGTACCGACTCTCATCCGTGAACAGAACAGTTCTCCATTGCCTGTATCGCCAGTTTTGGTGTTGTAGGGCAAACTGTAGACGTTCACGTCGATGACGAGGGGTGAGGATAGGTCCACAGTAAGGTCTACGACAATGGAGGTTCCCGCTATTAAGACGTCGGCGTACTGTATTAGTACTGATTGGTCTTCCGTGTGTTCCCACTGTCTGGCGTGCTGTTTCGGATGCCTGCATGAAAGGGATTCTGTACATGCTGTCGCACAACATGGCGGTCTTGTCATCTTGATGTCACCCTTGGTCTGCCAGTACGGGGACGATCATTTGTGGTTTTGGTGGCCCGGAAACGTTGCTGCAGCCTGTAGATGGTCCGATTGGAAGTGGAAGTGATTGGCAATGGCTTGTGCAGTGTGACCAGCTTCAAGTCTTCCTTGCGCCTGTTTCCTCTGAGCTGTCGTGAGAAGAGGCATCCTGCTGACGTTGTAATGTGAATGTTTCAACCTGGTTTGGGGGTGCATTTTGTAGGGCTGCTCCTTGTGAACAGCACGTGCAGCATTAGTTGCATGAAACACATGGAGAACACCTTACCATCTCCGAGATCAGGTTGCGTTTTTGAGACCATTTCCTGGGTTCCATTCTGAGTTTGGGAAGGAATGTCTTTGCTCAGGTAAAGTTGGAGATGTTGTCAAAAATATACAATCAAAACATTAATGAGTTTACAGTTATCCGTTTCTGTGAAGGAAAATTCCAAGCTGACGTTTCTTTTGCTGCTTAGTATATTTTACAGATTAAAGATAGTATGCAGCAGAGAGGGTTTGGGTGATCCTGGCACAGTCAGACTGGTAAGGCTCATCATCAGCTCAGGACCCTTGCCCCCTCTACATGCAGCAGAGACAGTGAATGGGACTTCTCCTAGGAAGCGCTGCCTAGTCGTACCCACCAAGAACTTCCCGGAGAATATGAAGGCTCCCAAACACTGCAGCCTTCTGCATTACTCAGAGTGTCAGAAGGGCTGTGCTCCCGGTGGAGAACCCGGGCATTCTCCTGATCTGCGCCAAGAGATCAGGAGGTACCAAACCAAGGGCATCGAGAACAATGGGAAGCCTGACGACAGTGTACTTGGGATGCAAGCGGGACATTTCAAAGGTGAGGTCCGCATACTTTCCTGAATCTTGCCAATCACATTGCTGTCAAAAGGGACAGAAAATTCAATGATATAAATAAATTCATTAGCTTTATCAAAAAGGACAAAATCAGGATTGTTGGCTGGAATTCTCCTGAGGCTGTATATGGGCCTATTCCAAAGAAGTTTAAAAGCATCATTTCCATGACGCCCTGAACATGTTCAAGGTCGTAACATGGATGGACCTCGGAGTCAAAGCCACAGGCATGGCGAAGACGATAGTAGAAACAACGAGCCATGCCATCATGTTGTTTAAGGTATGCTTTTTGTGCAAAGGAAGGGCATCCACTGACAAGGTGTTGGACAGTCTCTGTGAATTCACTGCATAGTCGACATTTCATGTCAATATTTTCTTTAAGAATCACATTTAGGTGATTACGAGTGGGAAGTGACTGGTCCTGAGCAGCAAAAAGGAAGCCCTCCGTTTCACATTTTAGATCAGCCGACTTCATCCAGGCGAAGGAGTCGGTTTGATTGCTCTTCTGTTCCACACACTGCATGTACTCACAATGGAATGGCTTATCAGAAAGCTTCTCCACAAATGACCGACTCTGAGCAGACTTGGTGAATAACCGTCCAGCAGTACATTACCTTCAACAAAATCAACCTCAAATTTCAGATTCTGTCCAACAACCTTGACACGCTTAAAATAGCTGTGGAATTCCTTGCTTTCATCATGAGTCTTGACATGCATCACCAGAGGATCATCCGACAAATAAATATGTGCAAAAGTACACAATAAAATTCTGTCATGAAGAGCCTCCACATTAATCAAACCCTGACCTCCCGAACTGATTGGCATATATAAACGATTGAGAGAGGAATGAAGGTGGTGGGCTCTGTTATCAGACATGATCCTTCTGGTCAGGCGGTCAAGACTATGGATAAAAATCAACTACTCCAAAGAAATAGGAAAGGACTGGCTCAGCAAAAGTATTGGTGGCTTTGACCTTGTTTCGAGCATTTAGCTCTGAGCTCCAGATTTTCTTTAAGCGAGCTTTGTACTCGGCCCAAAGTTTTTCTTGAATCTGGGCATTCTAGAGCTTGTCTCGAACTAGCATTCCAAGACAGGTGTAGGCCTGATCTTCCACAAGATGCTCAATAACTCCTCCCCCTTGTTACCTGACAGATCCATCATTAATTACCTTGTCACGTTTCAAATGAAGAGTATTACATTTGTCTAGTCCAAATGTCATGCCAATATCCTTAGAAAAGGACTCGACAAGGAGAACCTGTTCTTTCAAATTGGTATCTCCCTTGGCAAGGAGCATAATGTCATCCATGTAAAGGAGAAGACTAAGTGGTGTTGGGCATCTGTGCTGAGGAGGTCCGGTGGTAACCCTCCTCTTTATTGAGCAGAAAGCTCAAAGTATTTAAAGACAAACAAAAAAGCAAAAGATTAAAGGAATCCCCCAGGAATATTCCCCTTCTGACTGGAATAGATTCCGAAGTCTGCAGCTGCCCTTGCGAGTTACATCTCAAGTTGAGTCGACCAGCAGCTCATTAAAGACTTATTATTAGTAGTAGTAGTATTAATACAACCTGTTGTTCCCTCTCACCTCACAGACATCAGCGATTTCCTTCCACTGTTCTGGTGTAGGGTCGACTCCAGTCGGGTTATGAGCCACAGCGTGCAGGATCACAACTGACTTTTCCGGGGCACCCTGTTACATCAAACAATTTATTGTATAAACCATGTGTCCTAACATAACCATACACTACACATATCATACATGAATATTCCTTCCCCAAAGTGAGTGAGTATGGTTTTACGCCGCTTTTAGCAATGTTACTGCAAATTCACAGCAGGGGACACCAGAAATGGGTCTCACACATTGTACCCATGTGGGGAATCGAACCAGGGTCTTCGCCGTGACAAGGGAACACTTTAACCACTGGGCTACCCCACTCCCCCTCCTTCCCCAAAAAGAAGCAAAATCGATAACCTTTGGTCTCACATGACAATGCCTTTTCCTTGTAAAGTCACCATTCATATCACTAATTTCAAATTTTACTCTCCATCTTCAAACAATTTCACAAACAATAAATTAGTTATTTTGAAGTCATTTTCCCAAGTACGCTGATTACACTCAAAAATGACGATTATAAAAGGAATATTTTTGCATAATGTCAGCATTCGTTTCTTCAAATTGAAATTTCAGATTGGGGAGTAAGTCATGGAGCTAAAACAGCTTAGAAAGCTGACATGTGACTATTCTACAAAGATGTCCTCTGTTCTTCATGTAGAGTGACAGATCTTGTTGTAATGAGCCTGCTGGTGAATGTTCTGGTGACATCTTTCACCCTTTTCTCCGCCATGTTCTTACATTGAGATCCTCCAGCATACCCTCGAGGTCCAGCCCTCTATTCTTGGGATTCCAGTAGCGGTATTCCTTGATGTTGGAGAAGTTGGCATGCTTGAAGATAGTCCTGTGGTTACCTGAAGAACAATAAGCCATGACGACCCAAATAGACAACAGAAACTACTTGCTCACAATATTAATGATTTGCATGAGAAAAGTAACACATTTTAGATTTGGGGTAACACTCTCTAGTAAAGTACAGATTCTAGAACTTTGGTCACAAAAGATGAAGACAAGGTGATTACAACCTGCATCGTGGCTTAATATTTATCCTTGAATTCTATAGTTATTGCAAGGGTAACATACTGACGATTCTGATGTGATGCACCCTGTGTGCATGCCTATGTACCTCAAGCCGGAGACCTGTTTCAGGGCTCCAGATAACTTTTGGGGGTGTGAGTGTACTTACACATCATATCGCAAGTGGAGGTGTACTGAGAATTTTGAAGGAGTACTGACATGTTTTTGTGTGAGCGAGTTGATGTGGTTTATCTGGACAATTCATCGATCACTATTTCCAACCATGTATTTGTATTTGAAGATGCGTGAGAAATAACTGAGCGACTGTGTGATGCGCGAAATGTCAGGTCCGACTGGATATAAATAGGAACAGTGTAGTTTTTAGCCAATCGAAAAGTAGTGAAGCATATCGTTGCATGGCAACGCAAGGGATTCCTACTGTCGGGGTTTCCTTATGTGACAAATAGTGTTTCGCAAAGAAACTCTTGACAACAAGTATTTATCCGAAATAGATTTCCATTTGCACGATACGCACGGAAATTAAGCGTTAGACGTACAAAAGTATTTATGTGCATACACGATATGCTTGAAATCTATTATTGTGTCATTCTTAATTGATTTTGAGGCGTACATGACGCCTGTACACCCCTTATCTGTAGCCCTGCTGTATGTTGAGCCAACATGAAGTACAAGTTGACTGAGCATTGTTTTGTGCCACATTATTACAAACTTCAAGCTGAAGGACTACCAGAAATGAGCACCACATTCTACACATTAGGGAAATCAAACCTGGGCCTTCATCCTAAATATGAATGTTTTAACTACTAGAACACCCAAATCTTATGGGGCTGTGGGGTAGCCCAGCGGTTAAAGCATTCGCTTGTCATGCGGAAAGCCTGGGTTCAATTCCCCACATGGGTACAATATGTGAAGCCCATTTCTGGTGTCCCTGTCGTGATATTGCTGAAATATTTCTAAAAGCAGCATAAAACCGAACTCACTCACTCACCCAAATCGCATTTTGTGTTCAGGTTTGTCAGAGTGGTACACATAAAAAACCTGCATTTGTCCAGACTTTCTTGCCACATCAAGCTAACGCTCCATGGTATACCATAACACATTCAAAGCAGCTTAAAACACTTCTCATACACACACACAAAATTTAAAATGTAAATAAATAATATAAATTATAGTTACCCCACGTAGGTTTGGACACATAGACAGTGTCATACTTGAGAATCTTCTTGAGGAATTCTGCACACAAGCGTATACATCCAGTTCCTCCAAGACACTGTATACCTTCAGTCTGTATACATAAACAGACTCATTACACAGGGAAACAAATAGAACATTAAGCTAAAAGACAATCCGAAGTACTTAAATGGTAAATAGGGAGAACATTGATGCGGGGTTTTACACAATGCAGAAATGTGCGTCCAGAACACACAAAAATGTTTTGAATGGACGCAGGAAAAATTAATATTGCAGTCCTTACCAGGCCTTACATTTTCCCAAGAGATTCATATATGTGTAAAACAGTATCGTTTTCCAAGTAAGACTTGGAATATATAAAATATGTAAATGACCCAAATCAGGTCAAGATCATAGTCTCTGTTACCTACCAATACAAATCATATTTTAAGATGATTAAAAAATTCTGTACAATGTATTTTTCCATTTTCCCTTTTAAAATATTTTGAAATTTTGACTATTGCCCTTTTTCCTCTCTGACCAAATTTTCACTCCTAAGATCTGTAAACACAACATAAAAATGTCTTGCTCTGTGTACTATGGCTGTAACGATGCATCAAACTATCGATGGATTGCAACAAATTGATGGTAGAAACGAAAAACTATCGATGCATCGATAGTTTGTGTGACTATCGATAGTTTAGTCTGTGACTTCTGCTGATAAATGAGTAGCTCAAAATACAGGAAGTACCAGATTCGTTCACTTTGATTTAGAGTTATACGCCCCTGTTACCTCTTTAACACACTTGATCTGGGTTTCAAGTTCTTGTCAGTTATTTAAAGAGACTGAAACTACTTCAGCTTGTTATTATTTCATATAAACTATACATTCATTTGGGAAATGACTTCAAATGAGACAATTCAAGGAGAGAAAAAATTACAATAGTATTGCAATAGTGTGTCGCAATAGACTATCGCTATCACAATAGTTGTTTCCCCCTCAATAGTCACCCCTACTGTGTACACTCACCCTATTTTCTGCCAGAGCACGACTGTCTTCTCCAAGAATCAGCTTTTTAGCAGCTTCACGGAAAGCAGGGAGACCGACTATAGGCAAGTACTCATGGTTCTGGGTATCTGAAGCTATCGCAACCTCAGCCGTTTTCACGACCGGCAACACCAATGGTTTACCATCATCCGTCCGGTAGGCTAGGAAAAGGGTGACAAGATCAATACTCAATAATCATATCCAAGAATCAAGATTTAAATAATCATTCATTTAGACAAGTATTACCAGTGCTTCAGAATGCAGGGACTTGTGTTCAACCACACCCTGCTGAGTGTTTTGAGAGGAGAACAGATGGTCGGGTGAGAGGTTTGATCCTCAGCCATGTCTTAAGAAAGGACATTGATATTATAGTCTGGCAGAAAACTGTTCGTGTTTGGTCACTTTACTCAAAAACTGCAAGTACAATCATTTTCTAATTTGGCATGATGCATTATAATTGTTCTACCATTGTGAATTTTAATTTCATGCCGTCGTGCCCCACAACAAAGCACCTATGTACGTTATTTGTTTCTATCTAAATTACACAATTTCAGAGACTTCTTGTAATCACATAATGAACTGGTTTTTGTCATGGAACACTGAGCACATTGACGATGTAAAGAAAATGGATGTCTTTACAAACATTCCATTTTTAATTATATCCGTGTTACAATGTACATCGACTTCTTTCCTTTCAACGACACTAAGGCTGAAGGGGTCGTTGCACAGGTACTACAGATATGTACCCAAGGTACATGTATACATTTGTATATACAACCAAACGCATCAGTATGACAGTTACGGTCAAGACAACAACACAGTGCGGAATAGAATCATCCTTGGGTACGTTTCTATGTTTGATTCTGGCTAGGGTACGTTTCTGTAGAACTTACGTGCCGACAACGACCCCTTCAGTGAGACTAAGCAACTCAAGGAGGCGTATCAATTAACACAATTCAAGCATGAAAACACGTGTGCACATTTCTCTGCATTTAGTCACTGCCCCAGAGTGACCTAACAGGAATTCCAAAATCTAAATCTTCACCATTTATGATATGATGTCAATGTTACAGTAATCAAAATACCTTGGGCGGCAGACTAGTGCAGGGACTGATTGAGGCGCACGTATATTGTAACCTTCAAATACCCTCCTGCATTACCAGCTTAGCAGTTCTATGGACATTTCGCGTGACAGGCAATTATTTTCAGTTTACCTCCAACTCCGAGATTCACCTTCTGAGGGAAAGTGTCTTCGTTGTATCGTCTGGTAAGTTGGAAAACCTCGATAGGTGGTGCCATTTCCACATCTTGGAAGAATGAAGCCGCCATTTTGACAGAGTGAAGGTCGAGGTCACGTGGTTGTCAAGGTGCTCTTTTTGCAGGATTCGGGGGCCGCCTCGACAGCTTAGATAGATATTTTTAATCATGAAACAGAATGGGGGAAATAGTTTGCAGTATAAACGCATTGCTTAAAAGGTTTATGAACATAAACGCATAATTATACACACAAACTAAAGCAAAATAGAAAGGCAAAGAGAGAGAGGGAGAGAGAGAGAGAGAGAGAGAGAGAGAGAGAGAGAGAGAGGGGAGAGAGAGACAGAGAGAGAGACAGACCTGTGTCTGGATGTCACATGGTAATCATGAGTTTTATACTTTTTTTCCTAAAACATTTCAACATTTAGGGAATAAAATGGGGTGTCCCACAGGTCCCACTTGGCATTTAGGAAACTTTATTACTAATCAAATACAAAGTATCTGTTAGTATTGTCTCAAGGCTCATTCACCGAGTTTGAAAGGGGTACAAAGGTAATATAATCACAGACCCAATAAGATGGGATAACTTCTTTGAGAGGTATTTTAGAAGTTCGATAGATCAGGGAGACTATATAACGTGTTGTAGATTATCCCTGGATAGATGAAGGAAAACCAAGTTCTATGGATAGTCAACTTCTTTATTGCAATGGGTGCGACGTTTTGGTGTATGTATATATTCTCCATGTTACAACTCTATGTATCACTTGCTTGATAACGGTGTTAGTACCTACACCGAAACGTCGCACCCGTTGCAATAAAGAAGTTGACTATCCATAGAACTTGGTTTTCCTCCTTCTAGGGTTATAAGTGTAAAGACGAAGCCAATGAGATTAACGGTGTAAGAATGTAAGACAAAGCAAATGATTATATTGCTTGCTTTACTTACAGATGGAGAGAGATGCGAGCAATATGACGCCTCTGTACTGGTGGGTGTGATCTGAGAGATCTACAAACAAAATGACTGCATATATCTCTCACGTACTCTGCTAGAGTTTCCTTAAAAGAAAAAATACACCTACGTGATAGATGTCACAACAGAGAGAAAGAGCTTTGTTAATCCACTGCGTGTGATTACACCAGGAGTGTATATCGAAGACTATGACAACTGGAAATGTCAAGTGTTTGACGTAACTGAAACCAATAACACTTAGTGACCAGGAAACTGAAAGACTGTAGATGCATTTGCAAAAATTCCGTCTTTTTTCAGTTTTCTTTTTTTATCAATTAATATATACAGAAAACGTTTTTCACTTTTAAGTTACATTTCTCTACCAGCATGCATTATACTGTTAGTGAACGTTTCACGATGAAAAGATGTAATTCCCCAAATTGATATTTTTACGTGTCCAAAGTCCGAGGGACTGGGTTTGTGAGTTTCAGTTTTAACAACTTTCTTCAACAGCAAAATGAATAAAAACATGACTGGAGATAATTTTGTATAATTAGTGGTAACATCACTCAGTTTAGGCCATATATACAAATAGTCTTGTTTCCCATTACCGCCTGACCAAACTTTGATTCGGCCCGACACTGAGATTTTAAAAATAAATTACACAAGACAAAATGCAACTTTGACTCTCAAAATGTGCATGAATTTTTCAAACCTTTAAGTTTTGATTTTCTATCGGAGAAAAGTTGTAATTTTCCACAGAAAATTTTCAACGTGTTATGCAAAATGAAGGTAGAAGCGCAACATGAGAGGAATTATCAGTTGAGTTCCAAAAACCATCGGTCAAAGGATTAACCCATAATACATTGACTGATTTATCGCTGTTATCTTGCACGGGGTATTTCTCAAAAGTTAGGGTTTATGTCTGTAGGTTTACCAACGCAGACGGAATACACCTATATCATATCGTAAAGTGCCTGTGTACAGACATTCTTTGTTCAAAGGATCAACCGATAATACGTTGACTTATTGCTGATTGTCGTGTACCTAACTTATCGTTTTAAGGACAACGTGAACATAGATTCTAGGATATCATCAGTGTATCAAAAGGACTGAAAACAACAAAAGACACAACCAGGGAATTGCTCTCGATTAGTGCCTCGTTTTCACGATTTCAGAATGTTTGCTCCTTTCGTAAATTATCAAAATCCAGTGAGTCGAAAACGTCCTTTAGCAAGACATATATATATTCACAGACATATGAAAAAGTATTATAAAGGAAAACTACGTCAAACAAGTCAGGAGAAACCGATGCAGTAACTCGAAGGGAGACAATTAAGTCCAATAATTTGACTAATTAAGTACAGTCAGTTACCTACCCTTGCCTTTGAAAGACGAAAGGTCACAAAACATAGTTTTAAAATAAAAACTAGAAAATATGTAACTCACCTCTGCTCGTCGTGGTTTTCGATATCACTATACCCCCAACAGTTCCTTCTTTTATATACACTGACTATATTTGCATAGTGTGTTTATATGCTTAGCGCTCACAACACAAGTTACCCAGATCTGTTATTCTTATAACTACTAATGCGAAATGAATACCTTGAACCATTGTGGAAAATATTTTAAGCGTTGTACGAAACCCCTCTATACTGTTATAAGTAGTAAGACATCAATAGGTGGTTCGTTCTGGGCGTTTTAAGACCTGATGGAACTATTTATTCAAGGCGTTTTAAGACCCGAAGGTAAGATTAATTCAGGTTGTTATAAACTTTGAGGAGCGATTCATAACATCACAGGTGCAAATTGTAATGGCTGGAAACCATTGTGTGTAAAATGTTACGTGGTAATCGGTGTACCAGGAAATTAAGTACTGTGATAGGTAAATAGGGGATGTATCAAAACCAATTTCTATATATTTGTTTATTGCTTCAACTATTTACGTTTGCTTTCACCGTTGTTAAAGTTAAGAGTGAGTGAGTTTAGTTTTACGCCGCACTCAGCAATATTCCAGCTATATGGCGACGGTCTGTAAATAATCGAGTCTGGACCAGACAATCCAGTGATGAACAGCATGAGCATCGATCTTCGCAATTGGGATACGATGACATGTGCCAACCAAGTCAGCGATTCTGACCACCCGATCCCGTTAGTCGCCTCTTGGGTTACCATGGGTTACTGAAGAAATGTTTAACCCGGATCTTCACGGGTTCGTTACTGTTCACGATTCCCCATAAGGAAACCGTGTTCGGAATAGGAAGATCACGAGGTCACCGACTGCCCATGACGAATCCTTGTTCGGATTAGGAGGCGGTTGATTCTATAGGGTGGTTGAGCACGGAGTAGATCATACCCTCGATATATCAAACGGGAATATATCTGGAATGAGTGAGTGTTGTCGTAACCGGGATTTGGGTGTTAGTAAACCCTACTGGTGAGGTGAGGTGAAACTGGGTTTAACGTCGTGCTTGAGAATATTTCGCTCATGACGACGTGCATGCATGTGTATGTGTATGTGCGGCTGCTTGTACTAGCCCAGACTGAAGCTGGTTTTATAGTGCTATCCCACTGAGATACCATGCCGCAGTGAAGCATGAATACCCCACTCAGACACATTATACTGACTCCGAGCCGACCAGTCCTTGTTGTACCCATTACCGCCGAGCGCCAGGCAGGGACCAACAAGTACCATATTGTAACGTCTTTTGGTATGGCGGTCGGGGATCGAACCCGCTACCTTCCGCTCTCCGGGCGGACGCTCTAACCACTACACCACGGAGGCGGTCAGTAAAGTAAACCCTACTACCAGTTACCTATTAAGATGGCCGTTCCGCATTGTCAGGGGTGATGTAAGCTCAGGTTACATACTCGCTTGGTCCGTCCGGGGCTTCTACGTTTAGGAGTGAGAGGTCTGACGACCGAGACTCCTAACTACAACATTTCATTCATGTACTGGCACTCTGGCATTACAAGGAATAACTCAACACTAGGTTCTATACTCACATAGGTATACTTGATCCCTCTCTTCATTACAAGGTGACGTGGTCAGGACAGGATAGGGCAAGCTCTTCACCAGATATGGAACTCATCGATCGCGATGCGAACGTTCTGCAGACTTTGTAACCCGCACCATTTTCTAGTGCCAACCCATCTTTTTAAGGTGTTCGAGCCTGCTCCACCCTTGTCACATGACCCGATACAATCCCTCTGATTCGTTTAAAGTTACATCATTCCATTGTCTCATGTCGTACCTCGTGATCAGAGAATTACTGTAAACTCATCGGTGACTCACTGTTAATTGCTACTTTTAAGAGTCTGTTCTGTTCTGTTACTGACAGTTATCCTGTTCTCTATTCCTTAGTTTATTACCAAGCAGTAACAGCATTGATTCTATGACTAAATAATCGTAATTCTCAATAATGGATTTGTGATACGTTTCTTGAATAACGGATGCATTTTCGCCATAAAACAGTATGTTTTTACGTCGCGTTTAGCAATGTTCCAGCAACATCACGGTGGGGGACCAGAAATGGGCTTCACACATTGTACCCATGCATGTGGGGAATCGAACCCGTGTCTTCAGCGTGACGAACGAACGCTTTAACCATAGTTACCCCACCGCCCGAATGTATCTGAACCAGACCGATATATTACATGTCGCCATCATATACCCGGTATATTGCAGAATGCGGCTTTAAAATGACAGCTAGAAATTCTATCGAGTGTTATCTAGTTCGAACCCACTGCAGCAGACGCCAGCACTCAAACGCACTCGCGTACGCACACGCACTAAAATAACTGTTACTGGTGATTCCATAATCAGTAATGTGCTACTCCAGATCTATGGGTTAACGAGGTTTGTGGTATCTGTGTCTGGAAAACACCCACGTCCTTTATCGGCCTGTGTGTTGAACTTCCATATTTGACCGAGTCCCTGTCCTCCAATCAAATGTTTCTTTTTAAGATTTGTACTGCATGACAGTATTTTTCCAGGGCGTCTTGACACACTGTGTGCCTAAAATAAACCAAAACGAATACCGTATTATGTATTTCGAGCCTTAATTAAGACCGCATTTAATAATCATTGGAATAAATATGACATGGATTATGTATTTTAGGGTTAAAGAAAAATGATCGCATGAAAGGTAATCTGTGATACGAATT